CTGAATAAAGAGGCAGTAAGCCTTTGACTACAGAACAACTTCTTTCTCTCAATATCCTCGAAGAAGTGTATCCGTGACTAAAAACAGTGAAAAACAAGGTTAAAATTTTAGCGATGAGTTTGTGAAGTTTGCAAAATGAATCCCCGGTATTGAATGGCAAGAACCAACATCTCTTTCTTCTTGCGATGAGAGATGAAAAGTTTCAATTTATGAATCTGAATTCATTTTTTCTGGATAGCTGAAAGCCCACTTGCGCAGACAATTTGTTTTCTCGCAAAACAGATCCAATTTTATGAATTTACTTGACGCAAATTTTTTTAGAAGAATTAAAAGCCGTGTTAGCGCGCAAGTGTTAGGTTTGTTAAAGAGCGGCAAGCTGCTTTAACTTCTATTAAAAAAATGATGATTTCTATAAATGCGCAGGTGGCACGGCTACACGAAACAGTAGCGAAACTATGCCGCAGGGTGTCAGTGAGTGGGACTGGACCAGCATGTCGGAGAATAATTTTGCCGAACTCTGCGTATTTCACGTTCCGGACAAACCTTTGGAACACCAGGTGAGTGGTTCGTTTTGCTGTCAACGTAACATAAGTAGTATAGTTGCAATTGTCAAAGTGGCAAAATACAGATAGCTTCGATTGGTGCGCATACTTTTTTAATTATTGAAGAATTTCTGGGATTTGCTTCTTGTCGCTCTGATACCTTTGATGCATCTGCGCAGCTAATAGTTGGCTTTTAAAATCGGACCAGCTGCCTTTGCTTCTGCCACTTGCAAATATAACACGTTCTGGGATTATCGAGATAAACGAATTTAGGGATCCAGTGTTATCGCTTTTACTGTCGTGCATCTATACAGTTACAAAAACTTCTTCATTTCTTCAACCTTTTTCTATAATTCAAACTTAAACTTTTTCTGTACTTCAAATGATTTCCACTCACGATTCAGTGAAATGAATTTGCTATGCCGTGAAGTAATGACTTTTTCACAGTAAAATGATAATTTTTTGTTATAAAATATTTATTATATAGTAAGAACGATAGAGGAAATTGTCGCAAACAATTTATGCGTGATGTTTTGCTGTTCTCCAGGATCCGAGCAATCGTGCCGCAACATCGTTGCCCTTGAACCTGACAATTCGATCCTCGCAAGAAGTGCCGAAGGTAGCGTCCTTCGCATTCATCTGTTTTTTTCTCCTCTCTCACTTCCTAATTACCCATCATTTTTTCTGAAAATTCATGACTTTGTTTTTCTACTATTCAAACATTACTCAACTGAAAAATTAAATTTTTCGATTTTTCCAATTATTACGCAGTTTTGAAAGAAAAACTCCGAATGCGATTTTTTATTGACATTTCTCGTAATTTACACAAAAAACTGGGAATTACTTTATCCCTTCAGTTTCATTGGCTTTGTATTATGGCTGCGTCTTTTGAGTTACTAAGATCCTGAGCAAAAAAACAGATTAGTTTTACTTTTTTTAATGTCTATTTTTAAGCCAGATTTATTTTCAATAAAGTTTTTCCGCTATTTGTCAAAGTACTGGAAAATTTGGAATACTACTGAAATGCCAATGAAAATAATTTAATCGACAGCGTTAAAAGTTGGAGCAGGACGGGGTAAAGACGCACCTTACGACTGCATGTGTAATTTGGTTGCAGTGTAGGCCAACAAAGAAAAGAACAGTCGAATTTTAATATTTCATGAAATCCAAAGGAGCCATTTAGCTATGTCATGTAAACAGACCAATATTTAGACCAGGTGACGTCTGTGTTTCATCCCTGAACTGTAAACATAGACGGCTGAATCGCTGCGAAATGGGGTGGGAATCATCAGTACAGTACCCCATCTCGCTATGTTGGAGGGGACATTTAGGTTTCGGTAAGAAGGATGAAAAGGAACAAAAATAGGTGTAAACTCATTTATAAAAATTATATTATTGCTCGAAAGGTAAACTACTGTGCAAAAGGTATGTTTCCGTCTTCGATTTCTTCGTGGGTGGTTCTCCAAATAGCGCCATGTGAACTCAAATTTGGGTTATTAAGCAAAAAAACTTAAATTTGGGTTATTTATCAAAACTGCGCA